ACATTTCGTAAAAGCGAGGTAGGGAAAATGCGATCAAATTTTTTGATCAATTTAATACATGACTAGGCTCCGTTGACAACGTATTTTATATTCGCAATGATATTCTTGTTTTACTCACAGACAACTTCGATACTGAAAGATACAACACACGATAGCACTTCGAAACTTCTATAAAAACTTCATTACCTAAGAGCTTTACGCTAATTACGTAATGATCGCTAGGAAACAAAAAGAAAAAAGAAATAGTGCATCCCAACCCGCGATAACAGATATCCATTAGAATAAAAAAAAATTATTAGCTATGTTGCTAATCGCAATTGCGTTGAAAATATTTGCATGGATTTTTTTTTATCTTAACGTTATTTCTCATCGAGCCTTGCAACTCTCTCGATAACTTCGTATAATGTATGCTATACTTAGTTATTACGTAACATAAATTTTAAAATACTTATTAAATATATATGTAATAGAATCGATCAATTAATTATTCCGCTGCTTGCCTCTCAGAAAACAAGAATTCGAGGAAGCGGAAAGCCAGAGAAGTATCGGGAGTGCATATCTCGTAGGAGGTAAAGCGAAACGAAGTAAGCTGCAAAGTCAAAACCACGTGTCCGCGCTGTGATTGGCCGACCCGCTTTCGAGTGAACGCGATTGGACGGGAGTCAATGCGCACAATTTCATTCCACTTGGCGAGTGCAGTACGAGCAGCCGGAGGTGCAGCGACGTGCAGGAAGGGGAAGAAGAGTAGAAAGATACTCGGTTAGAAATTAAAATCGGGAACGCGAGGATATTTCCGTGCTTGTCGCTCGGACGGAAACGCTTGTTTCGTCTCGCTTTCTTGTTCTGAGAAATCGAGGACGACTCGTCCTTTTTTTCCTTCTTTCGGAGGCGCGAAGAATTGTCGCCACAGAATCCGCAGCGAGACGTCGCGCCGCGCCGCATCGGGCCGTCGGGACGCGTCGTGATTTCGCTACTGTCCGTTCTGAGAACATCGGACGAGCTCGAAAGTGCCTTCTCACGGAGCTGCGATGCGCGATCCAGCGTGATTTAAGGAGCTCCAGGTGAGATCACTCGTCGTCGCGCGTGTCATTAAAAAATCTGCTCGGCGCGGCGATTTAACATGAGTCTCTTCTTCCTCTCGCAACGTTTTCTCATTTCAGGCATCGGCGTCGACAGAAAAATCGAGAGGTAGACAGAGAGGGAGTGGCGAGGGACGAAGAGAGTAATCATTTGTTCCACAAAATCGAGATAAAATCGAAGAAATCGTCGGATAATACATCGAAATCGACCAACTTCCGCTCTGCCATTCTGCGCACGAGTCACCTGCCGTGCGCCGCACATTATGGCGACGCTCAGCTGGTAGTGATTCGGCTGCTGCTGCTGCTGCTGTTGCTGCTGTTGCTACTGTGGTGATCAGTGAGGGATATGTGATGGCTGCACTTGGATGACTACTGCGATAACTCGTTTTATCTCGATAGCGTTGACCGAGCATTGTGCTGCTCCGTGCGGCTACTGTTCTCGCGACGGAGGGGATCGACGACGGATGACGCGCCGCGACGTAGTCCAGTGGTCCAGGTGAAATGGCAAGGAGCGAACGTGCGTTATACGTCGCTGTCGCCACTGTCACCGCGTCCGTACGAAATCCTGCAGTTGCTCGCGCGTAGAAGTAGGATTGCGATCAGGGGGAGACGCGCGAATGCCACGCGAGAGCGACCTGCTAAGCTGACAGCTCGCCATCAGTAAGAGAGAGAGAGAGAGAGAGAGAGAGAGAGAGAGAGAGAGAGAAGAAGAAAGAAAGA